GGTGGTGCTCCTTTTCTTCTCTCCCTTAAAATAATTATGATAGGATGTTGGTAAACAGTCTTTTAAAAATAAAAATTTTAGGGGCTGCCTGGGTGACTCAATTGGTTGAGTGTCCAACTCTTGGTTTCAGCTCAGGTCATGGTCTTAGGTTCGTGAGATCAAGCCCCGTGTTGGGCTCCGTGCTCAGTGCTGAGTGGGCTTGAGATTTTCTCCCTTTTCCCCTCCTCCCACTTGCACGCACACTCTCTCTCTCCCTAAAATAAATAAATAAAATCTTTAAAAAATAAAATAAAAATAAAAACTTTGGATTAAAAGGAAAACCGAACTTCTGTATTTTTGTTACTACTAAATAATACTTTTATAAATTTGAATGGAAAACCACCTCTATGTATTGCTATTGGGTTGCAATTATGCCCTCAAGCTTAATTTAAAATATACTACTTAATAAAATTTTCATGAAAGATGAATTCCAATAATCAAAAAATAAATGTATTTCAAAACTAGAATTTTGTGCAATATGTATCAACAGTGTGGAACAAAGTAGTAAAAGGTATAGTGTAACTTCTTCAAAATTCGAAACACCTTAAGAATATTTCATGTTTTTATGCCAATATTTAGCATACTGGTTTTATTGATAGCAGATATTTAATGCAATTTAGTAGCACTGTGGTTTAAATAATTTTGTCTTGGAAACGAAGTTTCTTTTCTAATTCTATTATTTATGTATGTATGTATGCCCCACGCCCCAGCATGAAGCTCAATGCGGGGCTTGGGCTTACAGCCCTGAGATCAAGACCTGGGCTGAGCCCAAGAGTCGGATGCTTAACTGACTGAGTCACCCAGGGACTCCTCTTATCAGTCTATTTTGAAGAAAAGTTGTTTCATTTTGAGGCTTTTGTGTCCCACCCCAAAATAATATTTACTTTGCCCTGTACAAAATAACTGTAGAATTTAAAAAAAATTTTTTTTTTAAGACTTTATTCATTTGACAGAGAGGGAGAAGCAGGCAGAGGCAGAGGTAGAAGCAGACTCCCCTTGGAGCAGGGAGCCCAACGCAGGAATTGATCCCAGGACCCTGGGATCATGACCTGAGCCAAAGGCAGACGCTTAACCGACTGAGCCAGCCAGGCACCCCCACCACAAAAAAAAATTTTTTAAGCACTCTTTACACCCAGCGTGAGGCTCGAACTCACAACCCTGAGATCAAGAGTTGGATGCTCCACCAACCGAGCCAGCCAGGTGCCCCTTGTTCAGATTTATTTAACAAGTGCTTTCTGTGTGAGCCACGTTAAGCACCTTGCGTATTGCATCAAAGTTCTAACTCACAGGAGCATTATCAATCCTGACTTTACAGCTGGGGAGGTCAGGGACGTTTTTGGGGCCCTCGGCTGATAAGAGCTGGGGTTGGGAGCTCACCAGGTATTTCTGCAGCAGAGCTTAAAGCCACTGCGTGTGTTCTGGCCCAGGGCTGTACCATCTTTAGACCCGAGGTCTGATGATTACATTTGGAAGTGTATTTATAATACTCCCTGGATCTGAATTTGAGGTCAGTTTTCCAATGCCAGGTTTTTCGATCTTTTCTGACAGCCTTTGTCAAATTCCTGCACAAATTGTGTCCAATTTAGTTGCATATTAAAGCTGGACTAGATACTGAAATTGGCCCTCACCAAACTGCTGTGAGTGAATGCCATTGTGATTCGAATGCCAACTATATGCAAGTGAAATATGTTTGCTACAATATCTACTGGGTTGTTTTTTTTTTTTAATTTGTTAAGTTTTTAAGTAAGCTCTACACCCAACGTGGGGCTTGAACTCACAAACCTGAGATCAAGAGTTGCATGTTCTATTGACTGAGTCAGCCAGGCGCCCCCAATAGTCAGTGGTTTGAGGTGGATAATTGAAGATTGGTGTGGCCCAATTCAAGTTGTTTACTCTTTGGTCATGATAGAAAACTTAAGAATGTGGTCATGTCCCTAAACAGAAGTCCGTTTCATTTTGCTTGCTTGTTCTGAGTAGACACAAACAAGTTCAAGCTCACTACGGTCCTTGTTGCCTTTTCTTTTCCAAAATTCTCAGCTTTTACTTTCATTTTTGTCTCTGAATAATTGCAAAATCCAGCCTTCAAAAATAGCATTATCACATATGTGCGCTCCAATTATATCAGCATTTGTCACAATCAGTCATTTGAAAGGGACACATGCATGGATATTTCCTACTTAAAAATCATTGCATGCAATTGTTTGCCAGATCCTTACCCTGTTACTTTCAGGGGTTGTTCTTTCATGCTTTCCAATTTTAAAATGTTGAAGCAGAGTTCTCTTATTAGTTGATCATCTCTTTAGGGTGAATTCCATGCATTTTGAGTCGGAGTGCTAGATTGAGCTGCATCAATACAGAGGACCCTGTACTCATTATTGTGTCCCTCTGCATAATAGCTCACTTGGCTAATCGCTAACGTATCCCTGGAAGGACAGCATTCCCGTGGAAGACAGTGTGAAGGGTGCCCCCTAGAGGATGCAATACTGGTAACTGGGAAGGAAGCACAGCGGCAAGGCCCAGGTCACACTCATTACTGTTAGCTCTCTTCCTTCCTTCCCAGCCCTCTGAAAGCTTTCAGGATTTTCTTCTTCTTCTTCTTTTTTCTTTAACATCAAGGGTTCCTACATTAAAATACCAGAAGGGTCAATTCTACGTTTGTCAGATTTTTCACTGGGCAGCTTTGTCACTCTGTCCTCAGTTGATGTCAATTGGGTGCTCTTCTGTCAACTCTTCTTCAGGTCCTGCCAGCTACACAGAAGAGCCTGGGTAGGAATGGGGACATTCTCCTGGGAAGCAGTGCTCATGGGGGACGGCAGCAGGGCTGTCCTAAAACTGTATGCTCCATTCTAGAAATGGTATGAAATTGGAATGGGGCTGTTAGGGAACATATGAATAAAAGACAAATAATATACTCTGAATTTCATTATAGTCCCAAGCTATTATCTATCTAAAAGAAGACAGAAACTACTCTTGGTAGTTTCATCATTTAAAAATAAATTACACTTCCATTCTTTTTTTTAAAGATTTTTTAATCTTAGAGATGGGGGTGTAGAGAGAGAGAGAGAAAGCAAGCAAGCAAGCAAGGGGCAGGGGAAGAGGGAGAGAGAACCCCAAGCAGACTCTGCGCTGAGCTCAGAGCCAAGGTGGCACTCAAGGTGGCGCTCGATCTCACGACCCTGAGATCATGACCTCATCTGAAACCAAGAGTTGGATGCTCAACTGACTGAGGCACCCAGGCACCCCACACTTCCAATCTTGTAATAAATAAAAATGTTAAGAATCGACACATTCAGGGGCGCCTGGGTGGCTCAGTTGGTTAAGCAACTGCCTTCAGCTCAGGTCATGATCCTGGAGTCCCGGGATCGAGTCCCGCATCGGGCTCCCTGCTCAGCGAGGAGCCTGCTTCTCCCTGTAATCCTCCCCCCTCTCATGTACTCTCTCTCTCATTCTCGCTCTCTCAAATAAATAAATAAACCTTTAAAAAAAAAAAAAGAATTGACACATTCAGGTCCCTGCCCTGTGAATGTGGCTCAAGGTACAGATGGCTGGAAATGCTACAGGCTAGGGACTGAGGTAGCTTGGAGATGGTAGATCACAGCTCTTCAAGTGAGAATGAATGGCCTCCAATAAAACTCCACTGCAAAAAATGGGAAAAGAACAATGTGAAAAGTACAAAGGTTGAGGAGGTAGAGCCGGAATAGTTTGTGGTAGAAAATGTCCTAGGCTGGGGCGCCTGGGTGGCTCAGTCAATTAAGTGCCTGCCTTCGGCTCAGGTCATGATCCCAGGGTCCTGGGATGGAGCCCAGTGTTGGGCTCTCTGCTCAGCAGGGAGCCTGCTTCTCCCTCTCCTCCCTGCTAGTGCTCTCTCTCTCTAATAAATAAATAAAATCTTAAAAAAAAAAAAAAGAAAGAAAAGAAAATGTCCTATGCTGACATGGAGTGAATGAGTGAATGGGAAGGGGGAGTATTTCCCAGGGTGGAAGGGATTTAAAGATGCTGATAGTCCTTGAGAACTTGGAAGAAAACTTGATTGTTGCTTAATTTTCAAAAAGCTAATAAAGATGGCACAAAAAGAAAACCTTTATCTGACAGTGAACCTGATGAGAGCAAATGAGAGTCAACTGACAAATCAACAGGCTTTGCCACAGTTATCAATGAGAATGTTTCCCATGAAATGGAAAGATTTAAGTGAGGCAGACTTAGCAATGGTAATCAAAACCATAATGTTCTCAGATTGTAATTGCTTTTTATGAAGAGAGACTAATTTGACATTTTTGCCCAGAAAATGAAGCTCAATATTGTTTGCATTGAGAGATCTAAATATATAAAGCCAATCTGGATATTGACATTTTTTCCCCCCAGTGTGAAAGAATACCTACATTCTCATGAAAACTGAGTATGATGTATTCATTTTGAAGTAGTATTTGAGGGGAGTTGAGGTTTTTGTCTATCAATAGCACTAGTTACTTCAAACAAATAAAAGTGTTCTATAGTTGCTTCATTTATCACAGAAAAAAGAATAATCAATATATTGGTCAACCTTGTTAGTAAATAAAATGCGAATGAAATTGTTATTTCATATCTAATGTTAGAAAAAACAATGCTCAACTCTGGAAAGCTTCCAGTGAAAGAGCTACATTTTAATTACCGAAGACTGTACAAATTGGTGTAAGTCTCATACAAAAAAATTTGGAAATATATCAGGCCATGAAAATGTATATACCTTTTGACCCAGTAAATCCCACTACTGGGAATTTATACAAAGAAAATCAAAAACAAAAGAAAGAAGGAAAAAAGTCTCCGTATATAAATATGTTGCAGGAATAAGCAACAAATTGGAAACAAACTAAATGTCCAATGAGGGGAATGGGGAAGTAAATTATACAGCAATACAGAATAGAGGTTTTAAAGTTGACAAATAGACTTTATAGCAGCATTTTTTAAAAAAGGCAAGTTACAACACTGTATTTCTGCAATGATTAAAAATTTAGAGAAATGATGCATTTGGAAAAAGATGAAGTGGACATATAGTTGTTCACAGTGATAACATTAGATGTGAATTCTTTCACACTTTATGTCACGTTTTCATATATATCAAGAAATATATTCATTTATCAGATGCATAAATCTTAAATTCAAAATAATTTGATACAGATGTCCAGAAAAAGTGCTTTATGAAAAAGAAGATGTTGGGAACGATTCTTATTTTGTGATTCCTTCTGTCCTTTTAAGCACACTACTTAGTTAACAGTAGATGAGTGGTAAGTTTGTCAAGAATTTCTAGTCAACCAAATGCCCCATGTGCCCAAGTGTCTCTATGCCAGACAAAGCCCAGGAAAGAACAATAATGCTTTTGGCCCAGGCTGAGCAGTTACTCTCTCCTATATACTAAGTATTTATCCACAGAATAGTAAAAAATATATATTCTCTATATTAGGTGCTAGAGCCTAATACAAGACACGAATTCAATCTAAAAACTTCTAGAAAGATAATTAAAATATTTCTAGATTTAATTGTGTTATTCACAAAACTGATGACACTGGAATATTTTCCTCATGTGAAACAACAATCAGTATCAAATGTTATGCCTAACACAAAGAACAAATGTTTAATCATTTTTATGTCATTATTTGTAAGTGCTCCTATGTTTCAAAACTAATTAAATTTGCCTTCAGCATTTTGTTGCAGAGTTTTGGAACCAGCTCCTTTAGAATGCTCTAACAGCTTGATGGCCTTGTCAGAGTTTTCAATATTTCTAAGCAGAGTCTCTAATCTTCTCTTAATTTTCTTCTGATCTTCAAGAGCACAGCCAATTACTATGGACTGAAACTTCTGGTCAACAGGCCCAGGTGGCACCTCGGATGAACATGCACTGTACAGTGACATCAAGTGACTCTTGGCATTTCCCAAATCATCCAGAAACTTACTGACAACCTCATCAATAATCCTGGTGGCATGCTTTAGGGATTCTTGCTGCTGGGGGTTTCTAATTGTTTCTACAGAGACTTCAACGGTGAGCGTTCGTCCCATCAAACGGTTTGCCGTCAGATTTAATTCTTCTCTTTCTCCTAAATGTAGAAAGTTTGAAACATCAATCAATATGAGACATAAACTTACGTATATTGAGAACACTAAGGCATTCATTTGTGGCTAAAACTATTTTCTGTAAGCACCTTGGCTACGAAAATTTTAAAGGTAAAAGTCAAAACTATAGCACATAAGATTAACTGATGAATTGTATTATATTACAGAGAGAGGTTGCAGAATACCTTCCCCTAAAGTCTTTATTTTTTATTTTTGAGAGAGAGAGAGAGGGAGAGAGAGTGCACACATGTGCACACAGGCGGGGGAGGCGAAGGGGGAGAGAGAGAGAGAGAATCTCAAGCAGGCTTCACGTTCAGCCTGTGGGCCCCACGTGGGGATTGATCTCACAACCCAGATATTGTGACCTGAGCCAAAATCAAGAGTCGGGTGCTTGACCGACTGAGCCACCCAGGCACCCCTCCCTGCAAGTCTTTACACATGGGATGACTTTATACATGGGACACCAGATGACTTCTCAAGTGGTCATGTTTGAAAACGTTTGGGCAGGTATGCATTTGTAACTGGGATTGAGATCAAGTCTTAACAGAGAGTGAATAGTGTGCATAACCAGGGTTTTGTGCTGGTTAGAGCAAGAGATCAGACACGGCGGATCTCTTGATAAGGATGTGCATGTAGAGGGGGAAAAATAATTTTCCCTGTACCTTTCTGAGTTCCTGGTTGAGAAACCCTATAATAAAAGACAGATTAACAAGAAAAAAAGCAGAAGCTTATGAACATGTATACTTCACATATACACAGGAGGTTTTCAGGGACACTGAGATGGCCCACCTCCCTGAGATGGATGGCCCAAGCCACCATCTTAAAAACCATGTTCAGCTAAGGACTAAGACGTGGAGGGAGGGCTTCCTCTCCTTAGTGAGGTTACCAGGAAAAGCAGGATAAACCAGGGTAAGGTTGTTTTGCAGATTTAGTAGAGGCCTTCTGCACAGGTAAGAGTTTCTGTGATTTATAGTCATCCTTCTCTTCCTGATACACAGAGGGAGGCACCCTTGCAAATGGAAATAGCCTTTATAAATTTAAACTTCCCTTACAAAAGAATATCTTCTACTCTGTTTTCAGAGCTTCTCCTGTGTCTGCAGCTTCTCAAAAATAATCAGCTTGAAATAATTCTTATGCCAAAGAGCCATACTTTGGGGTGGCATATTCTGCATGTGTCTCAGAATACAATGCCCCAATTTTGGCTGAGCAAACTTAGCCATGATAGTGGAGAAAAAGCTGGCCTCAAAAGTAGGCCCTGACTTCATCCTTGCCAGGGAAATTTAAGCAGGCCAGTGGTGTAAGTCTTGGCCAGCACAGAGAGGCAATCATGGGAAAAGGGATCCACATTTCATTATTTATATGAAAAAGTCAGCCATCTCCTCTTTGGCCTGTTCTGTAACTCTCTTCCTAATTCATCGATCTCTGGAGAGGATGGTGAACAGACTGGCTGCATCTTGACCCCGCAGTGCGTGTCTAACAGTTCGGGGCCTGGAGTTAGACTGCACGCTCCTGGCACCAGCCGCCGGCCCATTGGCTTGTTTCGGGAGGCCCCGGAGCAACTGAAGTAGGAAGATGGCTGCCAGTGACAGAAAACTACGAGTGCCCTGTTCCTCCCTGGGCAGTCATGCTTTTCATATAGAAATGATAGCACGTTTTTACGTTAATGGGGTTTTATTGGGCACCTAATTTCTTTCCCCTGCATTTTCTCTCCTTCCGCTCCTTAAGTTACACCTCAACCCCTCTCTTTTTGTCTTCTCTGCTTTTACAGCTTCTACAGTCCAGTAACTTCTGAGGAACTGAAGTTAGGAGTGTGAACCTGAGGTCAAAGGCATCGCCCCTTACTGCTTGGAGCCACCTCTTCTGGAGCTTGGAGGCCTTTTCTACCATTTCCAGCCACGCCCTTGAGGTAGGGGGCAGGCCAGCAGGGTGACCCCTGGGTAAGAGGCTCCTGTAGTAAACTGACAGCGGCAGCTGCAGTCCGCGCTCACGGGAAATGCCAAAGCCAAGTGTACGAATTCCTCAAGTCAAGCGAAAATGGACCTAAACCCCATATCTTAAACCCCACAAAGGAGTGAAAAGATGAGCTCCCGTCTGTGGAAATGCTCTCACCGTCGCTGATCTGCCTCATGTCCTGGCTATTTTGGATGCTGTGGATCATTTCCAGGAGGATTTCTTTCTCTTGCTCAACGGCAGTTGCTGCTTCTCTCAAAGCTTCCACCCTACATAAATTGGGGAAACAAAAGTTACCACATGGACGCTTACTTTTCCTCATCTCTCTCACTTGCTCCAACTCAAGTTTAAAGATCACTAGGAACACTTTTCAAAAATTCTTTATCCCTCTTAGGGTCGCCTGGGTGGCTCAGTTGGTTAAGCAACTGCCTTCGACTCGGGTCATGGTCCTGGGGTCCTGAGGTCGAGCCCTGCGTCGGCCACCTTGCTCGGCGGGGAGCCTGCTTCTCCCTCTCCCTCTACCTGCTAGTCCGCCTGTTTGTGCTCTCTCTCTCTCTGTCAAATAAATAAATAAAAAATCTCAAAAAAAATTCTTTATCCCTCTTTAAAATTTTTTAAAAAATCTTCTGTTGTTTTAAATCCACCTACCCCACTCCCATTTTCCTCCCCACTTGTATGGCAATCATTCTATTTTGTATTTGTTCTTAACAAAATCTATATTTGTATTTTTATCTATTTTCAATTTATATCTCACTGTTTCTTTTTTCACTCAGCATTATTTTGTTAGGAACCATCCAGCTTCCTAAGTGAACATCTAATCAGTAGCTTACTGCATAACGCTCCATGTATATTCACCTGATTTTACCTCCACTCTCCCAGTGGAAATGGCTCACTTTGTCCCCTTACTTTTCATCACCACAAAAAAACAAAACAAAACAAAACAAAAACCACGCTTCAATGAATACATGTCTTCTATGGACTTGAATGAGAATCTCCTTAGGATATATCTCAGGGCAGAACTGGGACACAGGGTATGTGCACCCTCAATTTAACTCAGTACTACCACTGTTTTCCAGAATGGCCAGACAAGACCATTGTCAGGAAGCAAGCATTCTTACCCCCTCAAAGTACCCTTAGCTGGAATAAGAATCAAATTGACATGGGACAAATTAACAGGAGAAAATCAAATTTAATAGTGTACTTAAGGGGAATCCACACAGACATGGAAATTCCAAAGACAGGCAAAATGAGGTATGTGTTATTTTGAATGAAGAAGGGGGTAAGGGTCTGGGACTTCGGAGAAAAGGAATACATTTCATAGGGTAATAAGAAGAGCAGATGTTTGTTAATTAGATGTTTGCCCCGCCATACAGATGGGCCACTCAGATAAAATTTATCTCTGCTTATAACCCTTATTCTGGGAAAGACCCCTAATTTAGATTCTTCTGTGTGCTTAAGGGAGGGGCAGAAGTTTCTCATGAGCCTGCAGGCTCGCAAATGCCTTCAGCTCAAAATAACTGACATGCCAAAGTGGCACATTCTGGAGGGGGCCCTGTTCTGAACCCCTCTGCAATATTCCCAGCAGCAAAGCATAGGAATCCTTGTGCCCCCACAGCCCTATCATTACTCAGCATTCTCCAACTTTCTATTTGCTGCCAGTCTACTAAGTATACAGTGATATGTTCGTACTTAGTTTGCATGTCTTTCATTACTAATAATTTTGGACATCTCTTTGTATTCTTGTTAGCCTGTTCATAGCCTTTGCCTATTTTGGTTTTCCTTTTATTTTTTTAAAGATTTATTTATTTGACAGAGAGAGACACAGCAAGAGAGGGAACACAAGCAGGGGGAGCAGGAGAGGGAGAAGCAGGCTCCCCGCTGAGCAGGGAGCCCGATGCGGGGCTCGATCCCAGGACCCTGGGACCATAACCTGAGCCGAAGGTAGGCGCTTAACGACTGAGGCACCCAGGTGCCCCAGTTTTCCTTTTTTTTAAACAGGGTTATTGTTCTCTTGTTGATTTGCATACTCAAGGAATTAATCCCATATTAGTTGCAGACATTATAATCATCTCCTTCCATTCTATCATATATGAATTCTGTCTGGGATATCCTTCACTGAATAGATATCCTTACTTTGAAGTGATCAAATTAATCTTTTCTTGGCTTTATTTTGCCTTACGGTTTATGCTTTTGGAATTTTACTTCAGGGTCTTCCCATCCTAGGTCATAAGGTATTTTCTTACCTTTTTTCCTATCAACTTTATTGCTTTACCTTTCTCATATTTATGTCTTAGTCCATCTAGAATCCACCTGAATGTGTTTAGGTAAGGATTTTATTTTTCTCCAAATAGTGAACTGTTTTTCCCCAACATTATATCCACCAAAAATCCATCTTTCAATGGATTTCCTCCAATGAGGAAAGATGCTCTCTGTGTCAGACTAATAAATAAAATCTTAAAAACAAAACAAAACAAAAAAACAAAAGTCATATGCTCTTCAGACCGTGAGCCAGGTGCCCCGTGAATACTTTAAATTATAATTTCTCGCTGGTTATTGCTGGTTAGAGAAATGCTGTTTTTGTAAGGTTCATCTTGTAATTGGTAATGGATTTATTAATTTTAATGATTTGTTTTTAAAAAAACTTTTATTGTTATGTTAATCACCATATATTACATTATTAGTTTTTTGATTTGTCTTTTGATTCTATTGATTCTTCTAGATTTTTAAAAAGATTTTATTTATTTATTTGTCAGAGAGAGAGCACAAGCAGGGGGAGCAGCAGGCAGAGGGAGAAGCAGACTTCCCGCTGAGCAGGGAGCCCCACGCAGGGCTCGATCCCAGGACCCTGGGATCATGACCTGAGCCGAAGGCAGACATTTAACCAACTGAGCCCCAGGTGTCCCCGATTCTTCTAGATTGACGATCATATCACCTGTACAAAATGAGAGTTTTAATCTCTTCCTTTTTAATCCTATTATCTTCTATTTTTTTATAGTATTGATTAAAGTCTTCTTACTTTATTAAACCATGGTGATGAGAGAGAGCATCTTTGTCTTTTTCTGAATTTAAAGGAAACGCCTGTGTAGGTTTTTGGTATAAAGCCTGTATCAAACTATAGAAGCACTACTTTGCCTAACTCCCCCAAGTATAAACACACATACACTTACTACACATTCATATGAACACGCCCAGTCACTAAAGAACAAGGCTGTGGAATCATGAGAGCAAGAGAAAAGAAAATCCTGTATATTTAAAGAGATGAGATGAATTTTTCAAGACTCACTGGAGTTTGTACTCAATGTACAATGATAGAGAACTGAATGTTATTCAAAAAAGGCACTTCTTGTTATACGTTACTCCATATATAAGTTGCCAGTTTTTGCAAAATGAACAGTGACAGACTTATCCTCAGTATTCAGACGGCCTTAGAAACATGAGATCATGGAAGATCTAATCCTGATTGCTGCCGTAAGTGGGCACAGAAGGAACAACTTCACTAATGTTTGAGCACATGTCCATTCCATTTAAGGCCTCCCCTACCCACCCCAACTGCAATGTTTCCCCAACAGCCATCCACCTGTTAGAAACCAAAATAGCACTGATAGACCACAAAGTCACAGGGTCTCTTTGTTCCTCAAGGTACTAAAAATATGTTAAACTTTGTGTTTATAAGAGCCAGTAAAAGCAAAGAGCTGGTAAGAATCTTACATGACAAATGTGGCTGGAAAATACAATAAAAAAAACCAGTATTCTATAAAATGGCAATAATACAACAGCAGGCCCACTTCCAGCACCATCCATTACATGCTTACACATTTTACATTAGCAAACCCTCAGACAGATAAACCAGAGCCCAGTAAATATGAGAGAGATTGAGTTGGCACTAATATGAAATATTTATGCTAAAAACACAAACCATGACTCCAGTGTTTAAATGACACAGATAAATCATGTGATTGGTAAACGAGAAGATGCTGAAAGAAGAGATGAATTTTTCAAGACTCACTGGAGTTTGTACTCAATGTACAATGATAGAGAACTGAATGTTATTCAAAAAAGGAAGGCTTCATTTATGACACGTTACAACAGCAAGTTCAGGGAGTTGTTAACAAGAAAATGATTTAAAAGGAGACACTCTAGAAAAAACATAAGTCGATCATATAAGGAAGATATTTTGCCATTAAATGAGACCAAATACAGAACACATTAGATGGAAATTTTGAGTCTTGTGGTTTTTTGCTTTTCCCCCAATGCTAGAAATTGCCAGGGCGTTTTCCCTGTGAAAACCAGATTTCATCTTTTATTGGACTTCTCAAATATGTTTTTATGTATACCTTTTTCACTTCATAGCAAAGATAAAACGCCATTCTTCAGAATGTAAAGATTTCAAGGGTTTGTTTGTTTTTTGGCACCACTGACATTTGCTGTTCCCTCTAGCTGAACCTAGATCTCTACTTAGTTTAAGTAATATTTGTACTGTTTCTCAGCCACTGAGATCTTTAAATTCATCTCACATATAAATCTGTCTACAACCTTTCCATTTAGTTCTAGAAAATTGTTAGCCATCATATCTTCAAATATTCCCTGTCTTCCATTCTTCTGGAACTCTGGTTAGACAAGTGTTGGACCACCTCACCTTATCCTTCATGTTTTTTAACACCTCATTTGACAACACTTCTCTTGGCGGAGAAGGGTGGTTCTGTTTTTACTAACAGATCCTAGAAGAGCTACATTTCCAAAATTGGTTAAGAACTTCTCTTCATACCAAGGCTGACCTGAGTTGTACTCCTGGAAAACTCTCTGCATGAAACTGCGATGAAGCTGGCTTTGACAAAAAGAAATTTCAGTCAGAAAATTCTTCTGAGGGCAAAACTGAAGTGTACACATTCTTGGATAGTCTTTGGGTCTCCCACACCTCACAAATCTCTGCAGCCTAGCTATCAAAAGGACACATGGCTGAGAGACTTAGAGGCCTGAGAGGCACTTCACCAGACTGAAGCTACTGCGGATCCATCGGATCCACTGCCTAACAGACCATGCCGTGAAGCTGCGATGGCTTTTCAGTCACACTGTTCAAACCAGCTCTGCCACTTACTGGCTGTGTATCCTTGAGCAGTTACTTTTTTTTTTTAAGATTTTATTTATTTATTTGACAGTGAGAGAGGGAACACAAGCAGAGGAGTGGGATTGGGAGAAGCAGGCTTTCCGCGGAGCAAGGAGCCCGATGCAGGGCTCGATCCCAGGACCCTGGGACCATGACCTGAGCCGA